TTTGTTCATATGAGGATGCAGGCAGGATTTATAGAAGGGTTTGTGGTGAAGAGATACAGCGGTATGGAGGAACTGGGACCGTGGAGTTGCCGCAGGCAGTGTGCTCAGCTGAAATCTTCAGGCTACTTAAGCGGATGCAGGGGTGTCGCTGTTTGGAGACGTTTACGACAGCATAGACACGCCATTAATAATACTGCCACTGAGCACACAGCCGGTCGCTTTTAGTTTGTACGTATGCGTGTGCGTCGCTGTGTGCAGAAGCTGTGTACACAAGCTCAGCCGAGCAGGACAGAGTACGTCTGAAGATCAAAACGAAGTTGGCAGAAGATTTTGTTGCTGGGATGGAACTGTTGTTGGTCGGGCAGCTCATGTCTTACAGGAGTGACGCACACGCGCCTTTGTCTGGTTTTGCTTTGATGTGTGTGTTTGTGTGGAAACGTGGGTATGAGAGTTGATATACTATATTTAGTCCCATTAAATCCCAAGCTAGATAAAAAAGAACAACCTTTGGAAAAAAAGATGGCGTTAGCAAAATGGCAATGAATTTTTTACGTTTTTAGCCATTTTTTGGTATTTTTCAAGCAGTGTTGCCCTGTGTTCACAAATCTTAGCTAGAGCTTATCAGTTGTGGGTATTTGCGGCACTTTTGTTTTTGTATTATGTGGTAAAAACTGCGCATCTTGAGTTTAGACTGTTTGTCAGAATACTAGACTACTAATGGGTTTTTAAAGTTTTTTGGCATTTTACACTAACTTATTAATCAACAATATAATCAAGACAGCTGATAATCAAATCAAATCAAATCAAATTTTATTTGTATAGCGCCAAATCACAACAAAAGTCATCTCAGGACACTTTACAAAGTAAGGTCTAGACCTTACTGTTATCAATATTATTACATAGGGAAAACCCAACAAATCCCCCTTGAGCAAGCACTTGGCGACAGTGGGGAGGAAAAACTCCCTTTAACGGAAGAAACCTCTGACAGACCCCGGCTCTTGGTGGGCGGCCTTCTGCCTCGACCGGTTGGGGTGAGTGGATAGAGGAGAG